TCTGCTATCTTCCGGGCCGCATCCAAAGGACATTGCAGCCACGTTGTTCTGAAGCCGTTTCTGGCTATCCTAGCACTATCAAGCCGAATATTACTGGTTGAACAGCCTCCTATTCTTACAACTTCAGCCAGCACCTCCTCTGCCGTCACTGAAGCGTCCAGACCAGATAACCTGAGTTCACCCTTTAACATGGGTCTTCCTACGCGCATCCGAGTCTCTGAACGCATCCTTTAACTTAGCCGCAAGCGCATCGGCCGCAGGCGATGTATCCTGGCCAGAGAGCTCTATAAGGACCCCCCCCGACACCGTGCACCGCATGCGGGTGTCTTCGATGCCCAAATCCCCCAAGGTGATTTTCTCTCTTGCCTTTTTGATGACCTCTGCGTACGATATTCCTCCCTCCGGGCACATCAATGTGACAGCCGATGAGCGCGGCCTACGAATCGGTGGCACAGTTCTCCTCGCTCTTCCATCTGCGGGTGCCACTTTATCCTTCTCCACTCGCAAAATCGCCACACCTCATTTGACTCGGTGTCACCACATCTTCTCCCTCAACCCCTCTGCCAGATGTCACACCTCCGTCCGTAAGTGGGGGGCGTAAAGGTGCCACCCGGGGATAAGTCCGCGTTCTCAGCTGTTTTTTCTTCCTCGGCGGAGGGAAAAGCGCCCTGTGATCTCCGCCCGCGGTAGAAGTTCCTTGCCCAGCCGCAGGCTCCCGTCACAACACCGTCCTTATCACCAGGTTCGATCCAGGGAATCGCGATCGCCGGAGGCACCCCCAGCGGGGGTCCCCGAAACATGCCACTCGCAGGCACCAATGTCGCAAAAGAATCCGCAATCGCTCCCTTAATTGTCCTAGACAGATTCGAGAGGAATTCCCTTTCAAGTCTAGACTGGAGCCGAGGGCCCGCCGGAGAGGTTCCCGCCATACTCCCCGGCGGCACCTCGCTCGGACCTTTGTCCCTTTCTCCCAGCGTTGTTTCTCTGTCCAGGCCCAAAATTCTCTTATCCCGTGGGGGAAGTGGAGGCTCCAACGGAGGGGTTCCCGGTTCTATGCGAGCCTCGACAGGCCTCACCATCGGGTCTATTTCTCCCGCCGCCAGCCTATCGGTCAACCTCTGTATTTGCAATTTAGCCTCAGCCAATTCTTCGTGGAGTCCCTGTACTCGAGTCTTCCAATATTCAGGGTCTCCCTCCGCAGATGCTCTGATCGCCAGAGTTCTTACAGCGTGAGCCGTCGAGTGGAGGTTAACC